GAAACCTTTACCAAAAAAAATTAGCAAAATGGTAATATTTGATCACTGGAATATTTTTGTTGATATTTCGGGTATTTTTTTACCTACGTAAAAATATTAGACCTCATTTGAAAGATAGAACCTTGTGCTAAGTAATTCAGGTTGTAATATATAACTTCCAGGAAATATTTGAAAAATTATAGGCTTTAGTAATGATTACGCAAAAAATGTACAAAATCTAAAAAATTCCTGAACATGCAATTTTTTGACGATAACTCGGAAATTTGGTTAAATACATACATAAAATTGCGCTGATTGATAGATAAGATGTTCCTCTTTACGAATCTTATACATTATTAGAACTTAATACTTCAAATTTCAAAAATTATGGCCTCTAGAAACCTTTACGAAAAAAAAATTAACAAAAGGGGAATATTTGATCACTAAAATATTTTTGATGATATTTCGGGTATTTTTTTACCTACGTAAAAATATTGGACCTCATTTAAAAGATTGAACCGTATGCTATGCAATTCAGGTTGATATATATAATTTTTAGCAAATATTTAAACGACTATACGCTTTAGAAATGATTACGCAAAAAATGTCCAAAATCTAAAAAAATCCGGTACTTGTAACTTTTTGACGATAACTCGGAAATTTGGTTAGATACATACATAAAATTGTCCTGATTTATAGTTTAGATTTTCCTCTTTACGAATCTAATACAATTTTTGGTACTTTATACTTCATATTTCAAAAATGATGGCCTCTAGAAACCTTTACGGAAAAAATTACCAAAATGGTAATATTTAATCACTGGAATATTTTTGTTGATATATCGAGTATTTTTTTAGCTATCTTGGCATATTGTACCTCATTTGGAAGATAGAACCTTGTGCTAAGTAATTCATGTTATTTTATCAAGAAGAAATGCATATTTTAAATGATATGTCCTTTGAAATTGATTGCTCAAAAAATAGCTCAAAATTCGGATCTATGACAATTTTTCATTATAACTCGGATGTTTGCTTTAATATATTAATATAATTGGAAGTATTGGATGATATGCTGTTGCTTACCAGGAATATAATCATTTTAAGTATTCATTTTATATATATTCTGAAAATTATTGCTACTTGAAACTCTTTGCAAAAAAAATCCCCAAATTTGAAAAAATTCGTAAATTTGAAATTGTTGTTCATTTTTTTGAGCTTAAGCTAAATAAAATTTAAATTTTACAGCTGATATATTTTCATCTTTGAGAATTAAAATTTTTTATTATTCAACATTAACAACTATTTCGAAAAAAATTAAATATTTTTTAGAATATGACACAAAATTTAAAAAAAAAATTGTCTAAAATTGTTTCATTTTATTGTCAGGGATATTTCAAGTATTTGTTTCCCAACATTAAAATACAAAAATTTCTGAATTAAACCCCACCTATTTTTCTCCCAAAAACCCCATATATAAATTCCCACACATTGGCATCCCTGTTAAGAGAAAACAATTTTGTGTCAAGAGAGTGCTGCTGTTAACAGACAACACAAAAGCTTTTCTTTAACATTCACCATTAGATAAAAGCTTTCTTTTACATAGATAATCCCACAATGCTATTAATAGGGATGCCGACTGGGATTACAATTAAATAAAAAAATTTCCAAAATTTTAATTAATTTAATGTATTTCTTTTTATTTTTAGGTATGGACCACGAACTTTTTTGAAACTAAATATGGAATGGTTTGATTTTTTTATTAATTTTATATATAAGTTTATATATTTAAGAAAATCCCAAAAATTTGAAAATGTTGGCAAAAAGCCTAGACCTCTATTCAAGAACCATAAAAATAAAAATAGAACTTTTTTACCGGGTTAACCTACTTTATGAGGATTTTTTTGACATATATCCAAAGGAATTGACAATTGAAACCCACTGGGTTAACGAAATCCGGTTAAATGTAAACGTATTATTAAAATAAAATTCGAAAATATACCCCATTTCAAGGTTATCTCAATTCAATGGAATCCCTAAATATTTTTCATCATCGTCATCGCCCTCCCTTCGTTTTTTTCAGATACTTTTATCTGACTTTTAAGGCTTCCTATCTTTTTTTGACATGACCATATGTTTGAGTTTCTGTCACTTTCATCCCGCAATCGCCCACGCCCGCTAGTCATATAACTGTTTAGACCTACGCCATTCGGAAAAATATACAACCCTTCACTGTTATCTCCAAAATAACACATTCAGGTTACGGCATGTTCTTCTTACATAGTGACAATTATTGTTATTTTGTTGCGGAGCTAAAAATAGATGTTCGATATGACGCATGGAAAGGCAGTGAAAATGCCTTCACTGGTCATTGACGTAAACACTCTACATACATAGCAATTTGGTATGGAAGGGAAGTGGGGGATTGTCCTTTTTCACCTCCTCTCCCAAAAGGAACAAAAAACCATGACGAAGATTATTTAATTGGTTTTCAAGGTTATTCATCATCGATGTAGGAAAGGGGAGACATTAATTTATTTCCTATGGCTGGGTGCCATGGTATGTACGTCTAGGGCATTTGGTTGTTGTTTTTTTAATTCATGGCTTCGAATTAAAAATAAAGCTAAGCTTAGCAGAAAGAGTTTTCAACTCCCAAAGCTCTCTCAGTTGAACGTAATGCAAAACAAAGCTGTCTACAGGTCTCTTTATCCCCCTCTCTCACTCTCTTCTCTCCCACATTTATTATTGTTTACATTAGATTTTGTTAAATATTGGCCTGACTTTTTTCTTTTGGTGCGTGCCGTGCCATACGAATTATTTTGGCCAAAATGTAGGCCAATTTTTTATTTTAAATATTAATTAGCATATTTTTATTAGTCCAGTTTTTAGTTTTGCTGCTTTCCCCTCCTCTCATTCATTATTGATAACAAATTCAAAAAATATATACATATATTTTCAACTGATAAGGAAATTTGCAAGCCATTATTTATTTTCTGTTTCACTCTATTTGCCACTGTTACAACTTTGGCCCCAAGTTTGAATTTATTTCGTTTTCTTTATTTAATGATTTTGAAATGTAATAGAGCATCAACTATTGGTTTTTTTACTGATAACCATTTGGCTTAGTACACGTTTTTTGTTGTTGCACTATTTTTTCTAATTACGTTTTTATTTATTTTTTCCTATTTTTTTAATTCATTTGTCGCTGTCTTGCAAAAAAAGCCAACCTAGAGCAACAGTGGAGCACCAGCTCCATATGTAAACAGAGAGGCGGCTTTGCAACATAATATAACGTGTTTTCTTTCATTGAGTAGCATAAAACAGTAATACCAAGTGATAGTGGGAGGGGGAGAGAGACTACACGAGTGTTGATAATGCGCAGTGAGTTGTGTGTTATTAGTTTTGCTAAATGGAGTATGCCAGACAGCTAACCCCCCCATGTGTCAATCAAATATTGCACTTGTTCTCCTCTTTCTCTCTTGATTGGCAATCAAATCGTAACATGCTCTCCTATTGTGACTGACTCTCTCTCTTTAACAAAACAAAACGTTATGATGCTTTGTCAATCAAATCGTATCATGCTCTCCTATTGTGACTGACTGTCTCTCTCTCTTTAACAAAACAAAACGTTATGATGCTTCGGCTGCAAATAACTGTGTTGTTGTTGTTGTGGTTTCTGTTAATAACAGCATTTTGGAATACAGACTACAAAGCATGACTGAGACTGTTTGTTTGGTTGACAGCCACCAAACTTAACGACCGAGAAAAACCCACCGTTAAATGCCTCCGATGTTATTTCAATTCATCAGTCAGTTATTTGTACTTATGGCAGAGAGTAGTAAACGAACAGCAGCAGCAGTAGTTAAAAACGGATTGGAATAAATTTTAGCAGTGGCTAAAATCAATAGAGCCAACAAACCAAGCAACCAACAACCACAAGAGCTCTAAAAATAAGCACAAAAAAAAAACGGCTACATAGGTCATTGTGAAAATAAAAAAAAAAATAGACTGTGTAGAGACGAAGGAAACTTCAAAAAAATTTCTATAAAATCGAAAAAAATTAAATTCCTACTCGTGTCTATTAAATTAACATAAAATTGTTAAACGAAACCAAAGTGAAACGTTTTTAGAATATCAAAAACCACAAACAACAACAACAATTTGAAACACATCCATACAAGAGACTTCCGTAACAAAAAAATAACTAAGACTTGCTTTGTTCTACTCTGTATACCAAAGATTTAGTTCTATTTTTTTTAATTAAATGTAAATGTAATCAAGAAAAAACAAAATCAAACAAGATATTCCCAAGCGAAAGTGTAACCATTTAATTCCGGGAAATTCTATATAGAAATTAATTAGAATTTCTTTTTTTTGTGCACACACAACAACAACAATACAAAAAAAGTATCTATACAATTGCGCCACCTATACACCTACACAAAACTTTCTTCTAAGGCTAACCATACGGTACAGGATTAAGCAGGAGGAAGAGGGAGATAAGCAAGTGACATCAAAAAAAGAAAGAAAAAAAAGAACCTAAAGCAGCAACAATCGTCTCCTCATAATTTGCCATAAATTAAAACGAGGATTTTTTCTACTAATACCCTCCCTCCCTCCCCCTCATCACACCGACTGCATGCTCCATTGTGAATTGTGTGTTCTAACGATAAGGAATATTAATAACGCACAACAGCAACACGAGTAAATACAACAACATCAACATTGGGATTAGTAGACGACGTAAATCATCAGAGTTACATACGTCAGAGCAAAAGCAGGCAAGCAAACTTCTGCCAGCCAGCCAACCACCCACACACCAAACAAGCCCTGTTGTGAATTTTCTCAGGCACACACACACTCACACAGCCAGACTGAAACTGTAACAGCAGCTGTAACTCTCCTTGTGTTACGCACTTTCTCTGTCTTGCACACTCTCGCTCTCCCGGTTAAGGGGAGATATTTTTTTGCACAAACAAAACAAAGTTAAACGAAGAAGAAGCAGCAGCACACAAGCCAGCCACAATGTTGACATTCAATTCAACGAGACACCTACATTCGGCGTCAACATCATCGTCTCGCCGTCGTCATAGTAGTCATTTAATTTCCTTCACATCATTTGCATTATGCAGCATTGTTGTTGTTGTTGTTATTGCCACCTGTATACCAAGTTTATGTCAAGGTTATATTATCAAAGAAGATGAAAGTTTTCTCCAGCAACCATACTATTCAACGCAGGGTGATATTGAAGATCTATTTGCCCGTTTGGCTAAACAATTCCCTGAACATGCCCAAGTGGAAACAATTGGACGCAGTTTGGAGGGTAGATCCCTGGTACTATTACATATTGGACAAAATATGCGTCAACGTAATTTGCTAACACCAATGGTTAAATATATCGGCAATATGCATGGTGATGAAACAATTGGACGTCAAATGTTGGTCTATTTGGCACAATATTTACTCTATAATTATCACAGCAATTTGGAAGTGGCGGAATTGGTGAACACTACAGATATTTATTTAATGCCCACAATGAATCCAGATGGTTTTGAAAGGTCACAGGTAATTGTCAAAAAACCCCCACCCTCTAAGTTTTACTTTATTTTCGTGTTAAATTAACGTGCGTGTGTTTGTTTGCGTGAAAAAAGTGACAATTAATTTAATTTGTTCAACTGATAACAACAGCTGTTTAACTCCCGTCTTAGTTAAGCTCTCTCTCTTTCTCGCTCCCTCTTTTCACTCTCCCATTACAATTTGATGGGGGGTGTTTGTCATTGTAGGGTTTTGTGTTTGATCGCCTGGCGGCGGCGTCGGCGGCAAATAGAAAAAATATTATTTTTCTGTATTCTATTTCCTCAACTGTTGCGCATTTTTGTTGTTGTTTTTTATTGTTGGGAAATTGTGAAAATTTTATTGCATGGATAATAATACAATACATACATAATAATAATGATGATGATGGAATGGAACAACAAGTGTTTAATCAAATTACAAAAAAGGTTCTCAGTGTGACAGTGACAAACAAAACGAGAAAATTAAAGGGTGCCTTAGACTATGTAACTTTGGGTGACCAGAGGAAATAATGTTTTTGAAGAACAAATTAATACATCAAAAGGAAGAGGAAACAAGAAATTAATTAGTAATTATTAAGAAAGGGGGAAAATGAGAGAGGTGAGATAACTAAAGGGCGCTTTAGACTATGTAACTATGGGTGACCGAAGGAAATAATAACTTTGAAGAACAAATTAATACAACAAAAGTAATTGGAAAAAAAAGAAAGTAATTAGTAATTATTAAGAAAGGGGGAAAACAAGAGAGGTGAGATAACTAAAGGGCGGCTTAGACTATGTGATGCGGGCATGGGTGTTTTTAGAAGGGGAAATGGGTTACAGCAAAATAAAAATGATGATGGAACAACAAGTGTATAATAAAATAAACAAGTTCTAAGTGTGACAGTGCCGAACTAAAAGAGGAGAGATAACTAAAGGGTGCCTTAGACTATGTCATGAGGGCATGATTGCTTTTAGAAGGGAAAATGTGTTGCAAATTAATATAATATATGGAATTGGGAAAATAATTAATTAAAAATTAGGTATGGGCTGAAAAGTTCAGATAATAAATGAAACATAATTGAAAAGAGAGGATCTTAAAAATGAATTAATTAAAAAAAATAAGATATAATTAAGTGTGACTTCGACTATGTGATGCGTTCATATGTGTCATATATGGAAATAATGGGGAAATTAAATTAATTAAAAATTAGCTATGGTCGGAAAACTTCAGATCCTAAATTAAGTTTAATTACAAATGGAGGACCACCCACAAAATAAATTAAAAATATAAAAGATCAGAGATAATTAAGGGCGCCTTCGATTATATGATGCGGTCATGTGTAGAAGGAGAATATGTGGATAAGCAAGGCAAATAATTGGAATTATAAACAAGAGAGAGAGAGAGAGAGGAATAAAATAAATAAAATTAATAGAACATTTACATTTTTCGTGATTTATTAAATCCAGTGGTTTTAAATTGTCAAATTCATTGTATATATGTCAAATCTTCACAAAATAGATTTATCCGCCAAAAAGTTCTAATTTATAGGTTTAATTTTATGGCTCCTGGAATTTAATTGCCCGAAAAAATATCCAAATTCCAAATTTAGGTATGTGTTTAATATTTAAGTCCCTGAAGAACTTTCAAAATTGTTTTTAATTCTTCTTCTTAACTTTCAAGCCTTGATTATTTGCTTGCATAACAAAATCCTGCATAAATCTTTATTCGCTGGTCATAAATTAATTTTTTTTGTTTATAACCGACCAACACATTTGGTACCCTGATAACGTGACTTTCATTTAAGTTGGCGTTTTCGGAATACATAACGCAGAAGACCGAAATGAAACATTAAATGTTAAAACATTTAAATAATCCGCTCCACAATGCGGCCAAAAATAAAATCCGAACAACGAAAAAAAAAAATCAATTATAAGGCCAAAAGCGTTGTGTGGCGAAATTATTTAACTTTTTTTAGTGGTTTCGATTATTTTGTGAGTTTGTTTAATAGAGGAAAAACATTTAAAACTTGGAACGTGATTTAACTGAAAATTGTTAAAAAAACACACACTCACACGAACAAATCAAAATGGAATTCCTTCAAAATTAATGGGATCTACTTGGTATGGGTCAAGTGGTGGCACCCGATAGTTGTCGTTTTTTTGTTTTTGTTTTGGCTTTAAATATGGCATACACGTTGATGACGCTTATATATTTGACATTGATTTACCATAATATGGCAACAATAAAAACAACAACACCACCACTAACAATTTCAAACTTTGGAATTCAATAGAAAATACCAATGAAAATAAGCGTTTAATTGTTGAAGTAGTTGTTGTTGTTTTTGTAAAATTAGATCAATGAACTGTCAATATTACCTTACACGTTATTAGGTGACCGTAACAAAATTGAATAAATGAAAACAAAAATAAATAAATAAAAAAATAATAAAAATTTTGAAAAAAATTAATCCCAGGAAATATTCAACAAAAGTGTGAAAAAATGTTCTTAAAAGATTTGAGTTCAGTTTGTTTGTTTTTAGCTTTCATATAACATTGAATTATTATTACAAAGGTCAATGCTTTCAAAACACAAAACAATTAAAACTTGTTTTAGGCACAAATTTCAAACACAAAAAAATCGCCAAGTACTTAATCTCACCGTTTGCAGGCTATAGTCTGACCTTTTCGATATTGTAGCCGACCAAATACCAGAGATATCAATGTTCTATTCTCTAATTTTCGGCATTTTTTGAGCCATCAGGAGGTCATATTTTCCAAGTCGGGCGGATTTTTGTACTGAAATAACTTGATTTTAAAGGCAGGGCATCTGGCCTATCCATTTTGATCAAATTCGTATGTCATATTCGAACAAATTTTGAAGATATGGCCAAAATACTAAAACGTCTCAATTATCCAAATTTTTGACATTTTTGGCGCATTCATTTTCTAGAGGTCATAACTTTTAATCAGGGCGAAATTTTGAAGTGAAACAACTTGATTTTGAATGCTGAACATCTGACCTTTAAATTGTTACCAATTTATTTTGGTATATTCGACCAAATTTTGGAGATATGCCCAAAAATACTCAAATGACTCAATTTTACAATTTTGGATTTTTTTTTGCGCAACCATTTTCCATGGGCCATATCTTTTAAATTAATCGGGATATTTAAATGAAATAACTTGATTTTGAATGTAGAACATCTCATCTTTAAATTGCGATTAAATTATTTTGATGTATTCGACCAAAATTTGGAGATATCGCCAAAAATACTCAAGCATCTAAACATTCCAATTTTGGTTTTTTTCTGTGCAATCATTTTCGGAAGGTCATAACTTTAAATCAGGACGAAATATTTAACTTAAGTAACTTGAATTTGAATGTAGAAGCTTTGCCCTTTACATTGCGACCAAATTAGTTTGGTACATTCGACCAAATTTTGGACATATGGCTAAAAATACTCCAACGCCTGAAAGTTTCAGTTTTGTAAATTGTTTGTGCAATCACTTTTCGGAGGCCGTAACTTTTGAACTAATCGGCATATTAAACTGAAATGACTTGATTTTGAGTGTAGAACATCTCACCTTTAAATTGCGACCAAATTATTTTGGTACATTCGAACAAATTTTGGAGATATGGCCAAAAATACTCACATGTCTCGATTTTTCAAATTTGTAAATTTATTGTGCAATCATTTTCCAGGTGGCATAACTTTGGAACTAGTCCGAATATTGAAATGAAATAACATGATTTTGAATGTAGAACATCTGCCCTTTACATTGTACCAAAATTATTTTGGTATATTCGACAAATTTCGGAGTTATGGCCAAAAATGCTCCAACGTCTGAAATGTTCACTTTTGTATTTTTTTTTTGTGTAATCATATTCCGAAAACAAAAACTTTTGAACTAGTTGAGATATTTAACTAAAATAACTTGATTTTGAATTCAGAACACCAGCCCTTTACACTGCGACCAAATTATATTGGTATATTCGAATAAATTTTGGAGTTATGGCCAAAAATATTCCAAAGTCACAAAATTACAAATTTTGAATTTTTTGCGCATTCATCTTCGGGAGTCTATAACTTTTGAACTAATCAAGATATTCAAGTGAATTAACTTGATTTTGAATGAAAAACAACTGCACTTTAATATATGACCAAATTCTATTGGCAAATTTGACCAAAATTTGGAGATATGGCCAAAAATACTCCAATGTCAGAAATTTTTAATTTTTTCCATTTTTGGGTATTCATATTCCGAAGACCATAACTTTTGAATTGGTCGAGATATTTAACCGAAATAACTTGATTTTGAATGTAGAAGCTCTGCCCTTTACAATGCGACCAAATTTGGTATATTTTGGTATATTCGACCAAATTTTAGTGATATGGCCAAAAATACTCCAAAGTCCGAAATTTTCGCTTTCGTAAATTTTTTGTGCAATCATTTTTCCTAGGCCATAACTTTGGAACTAGTCGAGATATTTAACTTAACTAAATTGATTTAGATTGTAGAACATCTCACCTTTAAATTGCGACCTAATTATTTTGATATATTCGAACAAATTTTGGAGATATGGCCAAAAATACTCCATGCTCTCAATATTTCAATTTTGTACATTTTTTGTGCAATCATTTTTCGGAGGTCATAACTTTTAAACTAATCGACATATTAAACTGAAATAACTTGATTTTGAACGCAGCGCACTTGACCTTTAAATTTCGCCCAAATTATTTTGGTATACTCGACCAAATTTTTGAGATACGACCAAAAATACTCCAATGTCAGAAATGTTCCATTTTTCAAATTTTTTGTGTAATCATTTTCTGGAGACCATAGCTTTTCAACTAGTCGGAATATTAAACTGAACTAAATTGATTAGGAATGAAGAACATCTGATCTCTTAAATGTGATCAAATTATTTTGGAAAATATTTCCAATTTACCAAACATGGACATAATTTTCTTTGTTAAATTCATTGTGTTAAACATTTCCCACTGT